AAGAATGACCTTGGAAGATTACAAAACTAAGTGTCTAACCTTCCTTTTTAAAAAATTAACTAGATCCTGACCCGCACATATGTGCGGGATTTCATATTTTAAGTAATGTGTTGTAATAAATTTTTATTAAATATATGATTATTTTGTTGTTTTAGTGATATATATTATATTGAATAAATTATAATGTACACAGAAAAGTATAAAATGTTATTTATGTTTGCTTATGACACAATAGCAACCATAAGTCATTTTTTGGAGTTTGAAACTGAAGAGTAGATTAGAAAAAAATCTTAGATTGAAATATAATATAAGTTAGATTGATGTAAAAAAAATATTATATAGTTATAGTATCTATAACCTAAACTCATATCAGTTGGCTGAAATATTTGAAATAATAATGATTTTAATAGTATTTTAAAATTCGTAACAAATAAACGGTCGGACCAAGATCAAACTGAATCGAATTAATGGTCAGGTAGATTTTTATTAAACTTGTGAACATTAAACTTGTAAACTATCAAACCGTATATAAAACCGTTAAAATGATTAAATACGTTTGCGAGAAATAGAAATATTTAGAGATAGGCGTAATTCCCATTCAATTTTATCATGTTCCATTATTTCTTACCCGTTCTCCAATTTATGTCTCATAAGAGAACACATTTCTAATATAAGACAAATTTTGTATTCTCGATTAGAGACAGGACGTGACGGAAACAAAAATTCTCGATATCCTGTTTGGGACAAACACATATATAATTCATAGTATATTTTTATATGATATGATATAATAAAAAATTTAGATTGATGTTAAAAAAAATTATTTATATAGTTATAGTATCTATAACCAAAACCTATATTAGTTGGTTGAAATATTTGAAATAAAATAATTTTAGTAGTATTTTAAAATTCGTAACAATCAAACGGTCGGACCGAGATCAAAATGAATCGAGTTAATGGTCAGATAGATTTTTATTAAACTTGTGAACATTAAACTTGTAAACTATCAAACCGTATATAAAACCGTTAAAATGATTAAATACGTTTGCGAGAAATAGAAATATTTAGAGATAGGCGTAATTCCCATTCAATTTTATCATGTTCCATTATTTCTTACCCGTTCTCCAATTTATGTCTCATAAGAGAATGCATTTCTAATATAAGACAAATTTTGTATTCTCGATTAGAGACAGGACGTGACGGAAACAAAAATTCTCGATATCCTGTTTGGGACAAACACATATATAATTCATAGTATATTTTTATATGATATGATATAATAAAAAATTTAGATTGATGTTAAAAAAAATTATTTATATAGTTATAGTATCTATAACCAAAACCTATATTAGTTGGTTGAAATATTTGAAATAAAATAATTTTAGTAGTATTTTAAAATTCGTAACAATCAAACGGTCGGACCGAGATCAAAATGAATCGAGTTAATGGTCAGATAGTTTTTTTTTATTAAACTTGTGAACATTAAACTTGTAAACTATCAAACCGTAGATAAAACCGTTAAAATGATTAAATACGTTTGCGAGAAATAGAAATATTTAGAGATAGGCGTAATTCCCATTCAATTTTATCATGTTCCATTATATCTCACCCGTTCTCCAATTTATATCTTATAAGAGAATGCATTTCTAATATAAGAAAAATTTTGTATTCCCGATTAGAAACAGGACGTGACGGAAACAAAAATTCTCGATATCTTGTTCGGGACAAACACAAATATAATTCATAGTATATTTTTATAAGATGATATAAAAAAATATTACAAAATTAATTGACTTCTTTATTCTTATTGTTTTATATTTTGTTCATAAATATTAAATTACATTTGTTTGTTTTTTTAATTTTAACTATTATAGAACATACTATAATAACATTTATTATTTTGAACATTTTTATGCTATATAAATTGAAAACACATGTTACATATTTGATTGCAAACGTTAATTTGTTTGAATTGTAACTTGTTCTAATCTAAAATCTATGTTTTTATCCCGTCCTGTCTCCTTCCATGTCGTCTCTGTTTCGTAATTCCTATTCTCGTTATATTACATTAAATATCATTTTCCGAGTTCATTTTTGCTTTTCTTTAAATACCATACAATATACGGTTGTACGTTTTGGGGATTAACATATGTTTTGTTAAAATTTGTAAACATACCGTAAATTAAAACATGAAAACAAATTAAAAAAATAAATGATCTATCAACTAATCTTAACAAAATCATAAAACTAAGAGATAGTTTAATGTGAATAAATTTAGAGAATCATTTTGAATTAATTGTAAAAATTGTGTAAATTCAAAAGTAGCTTGTAATTAGTTAAATTAGTCATCTTGATTTGAATTCAATAGTTCCTTAAATTTAATATTTCTCATTTTGAAATATTTGCATTAAAAATTAAAACATTTTTATTTAAATTTATTTTAATGTTATTTGAAAAAGAAAATAATCAATTCCAGAAGAATGTGTATTCCAAAATCTTGTAACAATTTGATACAAAATAAAATAATTTATTTGATTTGAAATTGAATAATTTATTTGGAGATATAGTAACTATTATAGTACGTTTTAAAAATATATTAAAAATTTAGGTTAGTTATATATATTTAAAATCATGAAAACTATCCATTTTTTAAAAAAAAATAAATTCTAAAATTTTATATCATTTAAACTCTAATTAAATATTAAATATTTTAATCTATCTTGGAAATATTTTCTAGATATTTACAAATTTAGAATCCAAAAAAATAGATTTTGAATAAGCCGTATTTTAAATGATGGAAGTATTTCGTTTAGATTATATACGACAAATATAATAATTTTTTTTTCATATTTGAAAAATCAAAATTGAAAAATCTTTTTTCCATGTGTACCAATCAGAATTAATTAGCATAGTATTGTTAAGGAAATTTTTAAAAATCTAAACAAAATGATAATTTGTTATTAGATTAGATTGCCATTTTCGAAAATATCTAATAATATCTTACGAAAATAATTTAGTTTACATATATGCAATTTCGAATTAAATATACACAATTACCCGTTTCGGTTTATTAGTTTTCCTTCTTCAAATTTAAAAATATCAATGACATTCTTTGTAATTATTTACCTTTTATAAGGTTATGTTTTATCCAATGCTTCCCAATTAATAGTATAAATCTACACTATTAATATCATAAACTTTTATAGATTGGTAACATCGTTGATAAATATTTATCGTTGCAAAATTGATAATATCGTTGATAAATATTTATAATTTTAGTATTTACCAACCCGCAAATATTTAATTTTATTTAAAAACATATTATTTCTATTATTAATTTAGTTTAGTTGCTAATAATTTAGTTTAGATTTTATTGTTAAAATATTTTGTATTTTTCAATTAATGACATTCGATTTATGTTGAATTTTTTTGTTTTATCTCTAACAAATTAAAAAATACAAAATATTTCGATTTATATTCGAAATAAATATATTGATGCTGAATATTCAGTTATTATTTAATATTTAATGTTGTTTCTTTTTTTGTTTTTGTAGACAAATCATACCAAAAATATTGACGAAGCAAATCTCGGAATATATTGGATCATTTAATCTCGTTATTTGTTTTTGCAAAAAATTAATGAAGGATCCGAATCAAATATATTTATTTAGTTGTAGTAGTTGTTTATTTACTAAATTACCCATGTAAAAATTCATTTAGTTAGTCTTAAACTACCCTCACAATGTTGTAGTTCACAAAATGCTTCCCAATTAATAGTATAGATTCTCTCTCTTACATGTTAATTGGAAACTGGACGAAAATACCCCTACGTCTGTAACAATTTTTTTAGCAAAAAAATAAAATGGATATCCACAAATTATAAAATGCCTCATACACATTATATATTTGCCCTCTTCTTTCAAAAATTTCGTCGGTGTCTTTTTCAACATAATTTATGAATGCTAACATATAAGTTAATTAACAACATATATATGCTAGCATATAAGTTAAACATAATAATTAAATTATCATCATAATGAATATGTTAATGTATAAGTTAATTTAAATAAATAAGTTAGTTGATACCATTTATATGATAAATGATCTAGCATGATAAATATAAGTTCATCATATAAATTATAAATGTATCGCAATACAATATAATATACACTGTTAATTAAATATATTACCACAAAAGATAATTTTTTACTTGTCTCCGGTAATGAATAGTGTTCCCAACATTGGATAAACAATCTTTACTTTGTTCTTAGATCTAAAGTCGTTATTTTGTAAATTATTTATTGAGTAAATTTAGAAAAATACCCTCTTTATGACTTTTAGTTTGAAAATAGGGTATTCTTTTTTCTCTCTTTTAAAAACTATTTGTAATATATAAAATTACTAAAATAGCCTCAATAGAATATAGTAATAATTAAAAAGAATTTATCATTAAAACAGAAAATCCATTAATTTAATTTTTAAATTAAAATTTGATGTAACTAAATTTTTTAAAGATAATTCTTATCTTAAATATTTTCTTAAAATAATTTACGATTCTTGGAGCGTTGGAGATATTTTCTTATATAATGTGGCAAATATTAAGTGATAGAATTTATAATATTTATAGATATTATCTTGTTAATTTTTAATATGTAAAATAAAGAAACTGTCTTTATCTCAAAAATAGTTAAAAATAATTAATATTTCGAATTTAGTTTATTCTTTTTTTTTCTTCTAAATTTCGAATTTTGTTTAATTTATTAAAAATACAGCATTTTAAATGTGGATAAAATTGTTATTTTACATATTAAAAATTGTAGTTTTTTTTTTTTGGTACGAAAAAATTGTAGTTTTTTTTATTGAAAGTAGAGAAGGAGTATTTTCAAACAAAAACTAATAAATAAGGTAGTTTTCAGAATATCTCTTGTATTTATTAAACGAATTACAACAAGAAAAAAAAATTAAATCTATATAAATGAACACCCAAAAAAATAAAATCTTGCGCAAATACACAGCTGGACATACCTGAGCCCAACGACTTGGGACTATAAAAGTAAGATTACAGAGGTAGATAACTTGGTCCCAAAGACTTTCTTAAGGTTCTGTCTCATATCGCTTCTTCTCATCGCATCATCATCACATCACTTTCTTCGACTTTCGTTTGTTATTATATCCTCTCAATATATAATTTTGTTCTTAATTAGCGAGAGCCATGGAGATTGCTACGACAACGAACGCTTTGCATTTGTTTCCCAAGGATCAGAGATACAAAACCAAAGGCGTCAGGTATAACAATCTAATCGATTTCTCAGACGTCTCCTTGTTACCCGTAATCCCTAAGATAGACTTAGACGACCCACAAATTCTGAGTCGAACCAGAAGAGATGGCAGGGAAAAGTACGACGTTGTGCCGGCTTCCAAGAAACGTCAACATTCCGGCGAAGAAAAGCCACTGACGAAGAGACAGAAGAAGATCATCGAAGAAGTGGAGTCAACTACTAAGGTATGTCGGTCTTCCGAAACCCTAGTTTCCAACAATTGTTTTTTTTAATATATTTTGATTAAGATTATTTCAACCAATTGTTTGTTTTCTAATTTAGGATAAAAGATTTATTGATTTTTTGTTAATAAGGTTGACTTTCTAATTTGTTTATGTTTTTTACTTTTAGGCGAAATCTATTAGGACGTTGACACCGAATCTTCACAAATCAGTGTCCGAGTCAAAGCAGGAGACTAAGAGAAAAGTTACCAAATCGGTGGATGCGAGGGCTATTACCACAACAAAGGTTACTAAACCGGAGAAATTAATTACGGCTTCCTCGAAAGAGTGTTTTCACGAAACAGAGACGAAAAAGCCTAATAGGATTGATTTGAGAAACTTGATCGCAAAGGCGCAAGATAAAATCCAAAACAAACGGCAGATCGATCATCGAAGAGACGACATCACAAGGCAGAGAATAGCTGCACGCTTAGCTCTAAATCAAGTAAGCAAAAACATGTCAATTCACTATACAGTTTTTTGGTTATTTTTTGTGTAACAGGTAATTTTTTTTGAGTTCTAATGTAATGATTCGTCTTCTTAATTTGTCAGATGGTAGCAACCGTTAGTTTTGACGATCATCTCAACTATCATAGAGAACTGGAACAGCTTGGCTACACATTCATTCAAGAGGAAGTTGATTACTTGAGCATGTTCAATTTATGGTCAAGAAGCGACTACAATGGTATCACTAACTCTGTCTTGGAAAAGAATAAAACGCCATGGTCTGATGAAGATTCAACGAGAAAGAAACATCGTCATAGCTCACGAAAAGTAAATAGTATGGAGCAGTATTCCCTGCAGATAAGCAGAATGGTGAATCTGCTGAGAGCGGAAATCAGAGTCATATCTCAACAAGTGTGATAATCCAGTGATAATTTAGATAGAGTCCGAGTCCGAGTACAGTTTTGTGTTTAATTTGTGTGAGTGTGCTCCCTGCACTCTATATATAAGCGTAACATAACATGTTTGATGTCTATCCTTTACACGATATGAAAAGTTTGAGAGTAATCCCGTCTATATTATTTGCAAAATGTCTTGCTTTCTTGTTTTCATATCATCAATATATTGAAAGACTTGCTTAAGAAGTAACTCTGTCAACATATTTTAATATCAATAGAAAGATTCTCATATATAGGTTTGTGTCTGATCTGTATTGTCTTAGATGGAAGTTACTGTAAAATTACTTGAGAAATATGATACAAAATAAGAGCAACTTCAGATACAAGAATAACAACTGTTTGAGACTTTTTTTTTGAATTTAATGTTAAATTATATTCAAAAGAAAAAACCACAGTTTATTACATTGAAATGCAACTTTTCATAAGAATCAAGTAAAATATTGTTCTATCCTTGATTTCTTCTTGTCTCAAACCACCTCCTAATGCCACCTTCGTACTTCATATGACTTCCACTCGTAAACGTGCTAAACCGGTTCTGTATGTTTTTGTCGGTCATCTTGACAAGCTTCCCCGCCAGAGACGGTTCTTCCTGTTTGGGACTTTTTGATATTCCAGTAGAGTATATATTCATCCAAATACCATTGTAAAATCCATTGAAGTCCAAGAAATGCTCTTCAAATTCTCCAGCAATCACGGTTACATGATGAACTTATCAGTAAGACACAGAAGCATCACTGGATTGGTATTGAATAAAAAAGTTTTTCATAAGATCCAATTTAATGTCTTAGAATCAACATTGTGTCTCAGGCGTGAAGAGGTATGGCCAAATATCTTGCACTAATTCAAAGAGTTCTATTATTATTAACATATCCCACTAATAAATAAACAAAACTGAAAAAACAATTGTTAGAAAGACGTAACACTCTGAATGTGATGCGAGAAAGTATGGAGCCTATTCAGTCTTTTGTCTCCAAGTCCTATTCTAAGCTGTTTTTTCTTTGGATCAAAATACAAAATATAAAATGATTTAAGAAATGTGGATGGTACGTAAATAAACTCTCCAGTACGAGTGATACCATCTAGTTTGAAATCAGTTTTCAAACTCCGATCATAATAACCAAAAGGTGCAAGAAAGTGTTTACAAGACCATATGTGTTTCTCTGCATCCTCCAAAGTCCACAATGTAATACCGCCATCGACATCATTCTTCATAGTACTATTAACACACGATAACCTACCCTGATAAGGTATGAGCATGATAACAAAACTACCCGAAGGCTATCGTATTAAACTTTTCAGATCTAACATTAAAACTCATGATAGCAGGATTGCTAAACCCATCTGATCATAGAGGCTTGATAATATCAATAATTTAGCATACGATGTACTTAAGAAAAATAAAAATTAATGAAAAAAAAAGACTTCAAATCAATAGTGCTCATTTAGTTTAATCGGAGTCTTCCTCTTCTTCACCTTGGAGCGACTTGAAAGTAATGATGGAACCAGAAAACTAGTTACCAAGTATATGTGAAGATCATTGCTCCACTGCAATAAGTAGATAAATCAACACGTATAGCTCCACCAAAGGAATATCATAAGAGGAAAAAGGTCAAAGGGATGAGAAAGATCAATTGCAGTTCTTGATTCCATCACAAGCCTAATCAAGCAATGGATCAAAGTTAATGTATCTTCCTTCTTATAGACTTACCTATAGTCGAATTAAATCAAATCTAGATGTTTTTGGGAATTAGATTTCATGTTAGATTATATATGCTCCATAAAGGTAAGTGTAGAAAATGGAGAAGACTTTATGGTAATATATACCATTAAGATTGACACATACTTAGGTTTACCCCTGGGGTGAATCTTTAAATTCACCCAACAGATTATAGCCAATTGTTTTGCCATGTCATTATTAATACTAGAGAATTAAAAAAAAAAAGAAACATAATTAAAAAAAAAGGAAATCACAAAATAGATTTAGGGTTTAAGGTTTAGGGTTTAGGGTTTAGGGTTTAGATTTTACAATTAAAACGAAATTAGATGTCGGTTTGGGATGCCAAATGAGTGGTTAGGGTTTAGATTTTATAATTAAAACTAAATTAGATATCGGTTAGGGTTTAGGGTTTAGGGTTTAGATTTTACAATTAAAACGAAATTAGATGTCGGTTTGGGTTGCCAAATGAGTGGTTAGGGTTTAGATTTTATAATTAAAACGAAATTAGATATCGGTTTGGGTTGACAAATGAGTGGTTAGGGTTTAAATTTTACAATTAAAACGAAATTATATATCTGTTCACCGCTGGGTTTAGGGTTTATGGTTTAGGATTTGGGTTTAGGGTTTAGGGTTTATATAACAAATATTTCACAAATCTAAACAGATATATAATTTCGTTTTAATTGTAAAATTTAAACCCTAACCACTCATTTGTCAACTCAAACCGATATCTAATTTCGTTTTAATTATAAAATCTAAACTTTAACCACTCATTTGGCAACCCAAACCGACATCTAATTTCGTTTTAATTGTAAAATCTAAACCCTAAACCCTAAACCCTAAATCCTAAACCCTAAACCATAAACCCTAAATCTATTTTCTGATTTCTTTTTTTTTTTAATTGTGTTTTTTTTTTAATTCTCTAGTATTAGTAATGACATGGCAAAACGATTGGCTATAATCTGTTGGGTGAATTTAAAGGTTCACCCCAGGGGTAAACCTAAGTATGGTTCATTAAGATTAAAGAAGGAACTTCTATTGAATATTACATGCATGAAGTTTACAGATCCTCCCGAGGGCTGGGAAGGTCTAGCTCCCGACCATCTTTTGGTCCAGTTAGCATCTGATTGGACCATCGACGTCCAACATTTCCACCCGTAAAATGTTTGAAAAACATTACACTTTACATATATGATTCTTTCACTTGTCAACCAGTGTTCATCGTTGAATATGATTCTTTTGAGTCAATGAAGCTACTATACATACGATCATATTGATCTCTTAGACTTCAAATAAGATGTATGAATACTGAATAGTGCTCCCTTGTGCATTAATTCTTTTTTTGTAATTGATTACTACTAAATCACAAAGGAACTTTGGTAATGAAATATATAGAATCATACGAAAAAAAATGAAAACAAAAATCAACCATAAAGTTCCATATATTAAGTGTCATTTGTAGGGGACAAATACTCAAATGAACTGTTTCAAATTGTCACAGACAAAAACAAAATGTCATTCTAAGGGTAAGAAAAATACAATCAATAAATTGTTTTTATTGTTAGAAAGACACGAGACTCTCGACGTGATTGGGAATAGTATAGAGAGCACGCAGACGTTTGTTTCCAAGTCCATTCCTAAACCGAAAATTTTCATCCGCAATTCCTTTAAATTCGACTCTTCGCAAGCTGTTTCTCACCGGATCAAAATATAAAATAAAAAAGGATTTAAGAAACGTGAGAGGTACCAAAATAAACTCACCAGCATCAGTGACACCATCTATTTTGTAACTTGTTTCCAATCTCGGACCAAAAGGTGTAACAAAGTGTTTACAGGACCACCTATGTTTCTCTTTATCCTCCAAAATCCACAGTTTAATACCACCGTTGTCCATGGGATTATAATAATCAATATAAGCTAACCTTCCTTCATAAGATATCATCATGCCCCAAAAATCATGCAATGGTAATTTTATCATATCAAACTTTTCAGTTCTGACATCAAAACTCATTATAATGCTAGCATCTGAATCATCATCTAGTAATTAAGGCTGCATAATATAGAACACCGTTGATGCATCGCGCATAACAGTCAATGTAAGCAAAATTGTTAAATTTGGGCTAATTCTGGGCTTCCAACTAAAAACCAATTGGCAATTAGTAGATTGGCCCTAACCCTTTATATATTATTGATTGTCCCATCAAACTTCCGATGTGGGACTTGGATTGTATCTCCAACAATCTCCCCTTCAATCCAAGGACCACATGGATCTTAACACACCTCCTCGATCCCTCACTCGGACCGATAATAAGCCCCTTTCTCGGGCCCCCATTACTCGGGTTTGAGGTATGTCCGTATCCACTTTTTTAGGTCCACCAGAATTTGAACCTTGGGCTCTGCTACCATGTTAAATTTGGGCTAATTCTGGGCTTCCAACTAAAAACCAATTGGCAATTAGTAGATTGGCCCTAACCCTTTATATATTATTGATTGTCCCATCAAACTTCCGATGTGGGACTTGGATTGTATCTCCAACAAAAATGCTTATGGTTGGTTTTGACCGTTCTCCATGACTGTTGAGCAGATCCCAATGTTAAAACCCGACAGTACTCACCAGAAACTTTATAACCACGACGCATACACACTACTTTGTGTTTACCCTCGATTGGATCGTATCCCAAAAATACTTTTATATCCTTCCACCTCTTTCCGGGTTTGGTTAACTTTATGAACTGTCTCATGCTAGGGTTCCAAATTATGGGGCGATTTACTGATGTTCGAAAGCAAATCAAGCCGTGGACAGATTCCGCAAAAGGGAAGGAACAATCTTTGGGATATTTCATATGATAACAATCCACATGCTGAGAAAAAGAACGAGGCTCGTTCGAATTCTGATTGTGGTGCGGAAACGAGAAAACAAACAACTTGTCCTTGGCCGTGTTGAGGAGCGAGTTTCGAACTTGTTGGTGAAATATGGATCGGTGGTGATCGATGACCAAAGCTTCGAGACGTAACGAGATGTCGAGATCTCTCAACAGATTCTGGAGGTAGCCTTAAGAGTATCTCTGTGGTTAGTTCGAGGGGAAACGACGATGATGCTGATTTTGACATCAATGAAGATTTTTGGTCTGTTGTTGGTCAATACCCTATAATTTTTTTCCTGTTTACTTCTTTACCACGATTTCATTAATCTTGTGCGGGTTTATAATTTTTCAAATAAATTAAATTTAACAAAAGGATATTTTTAGTTAGAAAAAGAGTTATTTCTATATTTGTTATTTGCCTTAATACACTAATTTCTATTTTTATATTTTTAATTTATTGTAAAGTTTATTACAATGATCTAGTAAAGTTAAATTACTTTTTACCAAAATTTTTGCCAACTATTTGTAATTATTATTATTGGCAAATCTCAAAAACGTAGTTTCACAATGTCGCCTAAATTTTGACTTCACAACTTTTT